TGAAAAGGTAGAATTTGGGGCTGGAATAGACAAGTCCCATGGTTTTCTCCTGTATCGTGCCATGTCTTAAGACTGTGTCTTAAGGAAAGTACAGCCAGCCAGAGAGCAGGCAGACCAAGCAGTAACCTCCTCATCTCTGATGGAGCTGAGCCATGGTTCTGGGTCTTTGTTATACAGATCCATAGTGGCATTTCCTCCTGTGTCCAGCTGGTGACCAGGGGTAGGCTTCACTTTATGGCCTGTCCCTTGTGTTACCTTCAGCCTTCTCCGGGGTGATATTTCCAAATTTATGTTTTCCTTCTCTACCAGTCAGTGGCAATTGCATCTGTTTCTACTTCTGTGTGTGTGCATTGGGTAACAGGGAGGGGATGCAGGTCTTCAGCTGCAAATGTATGAAAGGCAAATTATTTTCTGAAAGTCAACAGTATCATAACCAAAAGACTGAGGGTTTGGCCCAGAATAATTTAAAAAACATACATTTCTTTCATTGCTCTGCAGTCTGCCTGCTCTTTCTCTTGTTGCTGTCACGTGCCATTTGCCTGCACTGAATTTTAGCCTTGAATTTGACGCTAAGTTCTGTTCAGTGTGTCACCAAATGCCTTTCAGGGCTGTTGCCAAAAATATTCTCTTTGCTGTACAAAACTGACCTGGAGACTCTAATTCACTCAGTCCCAGCATCCAGCCTTGACTCCTGTAGTGCCTTGGTGTGCTGGGCACGGGGCCAGATCGATTGGCAGACTGCAGCTCAGCCAGAATTCAGCAACGAGGCGTCTGACCCAAACCACGCCAGCTCTACATCCTCCCTGGGCTGCAGATCTATATTTGAAGAGCATGTTATACATTTACTGTAACAGTTTCCTTTACACTCTAATTTTATGGGTGGATTTTTTCTTTTACCCTGTATGTCAACTGTCACACTTTTACAGAATTTTTCTGAGCTAAATTGCCATATATTCTGCTCCTGTACTTACAGTAATTTAGTGCAAAGCCCTTTTCATCCTGCATCCCTAATTATTCGTGGAATTTGGAGTGAAATTCTACATGAAATCTGATCATTTTATCTGCCAGCCTTCGAAGACTTTTGTTTTTATTTTAATATGCTGTGTTTCAGTTTCTGTTTTGTTTCTTTTTTCATTGTAAGGCTTTATAAAACATTTGCTTGCTGGTGTTCTTTATTATTGCATACAAGAAATTAAAAATAATCATGTATGCATGGCAGCTGATAACAGGCAAAGGAAAAAATTGGGTACTTCTTGTCTCCTGAACCCAAGGAGGAATTTCAGCCTTCACTCAATCATGTATTTAAAATAGCCTGCTTGATAAATGCAGTGGAGGGTAAAAGTGTTCTCTCCACCTCTGAATCTACACACGAGGCTATACTCTGGTTCTCATTTATTTCTGCTCTTCTCTAGTATCATTTTTAAATATCCTGTATCAAATATTCTCTTGCCCTGGAGATTTTTTAGTTTTCTCTTTAATCCAATCTTGTATACAACTTCCACGGGCATCATTTAAGCTGTTCCTAGTTATTCTGGTTGTTCTTACATTTATAGTTGCTGTGGTTGATACAATACCCTATTCTGGTAGCACATTTTGTGACAGCAGAAACTGAGGTTTAAACTTCTTTTAATATGTTTACTATGGGCTGGCACCTCTAATAAAGTGTATTGTGGTTACACTGCATTTTTTTGACACTTGTATATCATTCTAGGCTTAGCTGTTTGGGCCTTTTTAGTTATTTATAACTCATCAGAAAAACAGATAATAATTCTTTGTCTGAAACATGCCACATAAATTACCAGCCACTGAACAAATCATTGGAAAAGATGCAGTTATTTACATCCTGTAAGTTGTATTGATAGGAAAAACAATGACGTGGTGTGGACCCTTCCAGAACAATGTGGGTTTTTTTAAACTCTAATGTAGTAAAGAAACAGCTTTGCATATGGTCAATGAAAATTTGATATAGCATAGAACTTCCCAGCAGATGTCTGACAATGAATATTTCATGTTAGTTAATAATTCTCCTTACTGGTCTCAGCTGACAGTACGGTGCCTCCCGGAGATCAAGGTGCCTTAGAGAGACAGATCTGATCTGTTGTGTCATGTTGGAGGTTTCTTTCTGGAGGTCAGGAGATACTCTGAAAGCCAAGGTCAGCAGCAAGGCTGGGGACAACTGCTTCACTCAGGTTCTGCAGATACCAGCCCAAAATCCACAGCCTCTCTTTGGCTAAATATTACCCAGACATGGAAGAAAAATTAGTTTGCTGGAGAATTCCTCAGGTAATATAGAATGTCCTGCCTTGCCTTTAGTGATAGATCTGCCATCACTATGGGTGAGTGCTGCTGCATCACTTACCTGTGTCAGTCTGATCCTGCTCAGGGGTGGGCACAGCACATCTTGCCTTCCAGTGACCCAGAGCTCAGGAGTTACTCCAGGCTTAGCCTTCCAAGGTGGCTGTGGGATAACAATTCACAGAATCACAGAGTATTGATTTGATGCAGTGTGAGTTAACCTACATGCAGGCATGAACTGTCAGAACAGGTTGAGATTGGACTGCATCTCAGAACACATAAATGCAGGACATTGATACTGATGCAGTACAGAAAGATGTGAAGCCACCTTCTGGTGCTGTCAAACCATGGCCCTGGCTGCACTTAGCTCTAGTGTGATGCTTGGAGGTGTTTTGGGTGGGGTGTTACCTGTGGGTGTCTGCAACACTTTGCAGCACAGATTGCTGTGTGTATTGAAATGGCTGTACATACATTGACACTTTTTTTTAATAGAGTACTTGGATGTTGGGTTTTAGTATGTACTGATTTAATATTCTCCTTTACATTTCCCTTCTTTATTGTCCCTAGCTGCTTATTGCAGGAAGTTTCTTTAAATGCCTTGATTTCTAGCATCTAGCACTCAAAGTATCCTACCTCCTTTAGGTTTTTTAATTCCTGAAAGTTAGATAAGTGAAGGAGATCCTTTTTCTACTCAAAATAGACTTTTTGTCTACTGCAGTTATGCAAGAAAAACTGTTTGACATCTCTCTAGCTTGTGTTTCCATTGAGCAGAGTTTCTGAAGTGATCAGATAATGACTTCTGATAAATCTTAGCACCTGTTTGCAGAATGGAAATTAAAACACTTTAAAGTTCAAATGTTTTTCAAAATTCAGCTGATCTTATTAGTACCTATTAGTGGAAAATAGCCAACCAGCTCTTCTTCATGTCTTTGTGAATCTTTTCTACTTGAATTACCACTTGCAAACTAAAACCAGATTTTTAATTAAGCAAGATTTTCTGAGCACCTGGGTTATCGACACGATAGTAATTAAATTCCAGCCTCAGTTTCTGTACACATAATAATGGAGTGCTCTAGCATTTTATTCCTTTCAAATTAATTGAATAAATACACACAGCATAACTTCTTTGATGCATCCACCCTTCACTCCAAGCAAGTTTTAATAGGCTGAAATTATCACATCTGTTATTAAAACTTGAGTAGATTACAAGTGGGTTGTATCATCCCAGCAGTTTTGAGGCACCTTCTCTAGTATAGGCTACATATAAGTATTAATTTTAAAAGACTACAATTATTTACTATGGCTTCAGAAGTTAATTAACCAGCCCTGATGATTGCAAAGGAAAACTTCCACATGTGATTCAAAATGTTGTAATCTTCCTGAATCTGAAAGCAGCCTTCAGCTGGGGTTAAAAAAAAGGAGAACAGAAGAAATGTGCTCCTGTGCAAGTGAGTGGAGATAACTTCAGATCTAGAGGTGGAAGGTACAAAACTGACTTACTAGGTGAGTTCACAATTTTAGGAAAAATAGGTTGTTACATATAATAAGTTCTTCCACATCTGTCACTTGAGAGGAGAAGATGAGAGAGCAGATCAGAAGGCTCTACAGCACTCCTGGCACTGCTGCTCAGTGGAAGGGGTAGGAGGGAGGTGCTGCAAGCTGCAGCTGTACGAAGCAGTGGACATAATTTCAGCCCAGGAATCTAAACATAGATAGCCAAGAACCTTGTCAAAAAGCTGAAGCATTTCTCAGTTTGAGCTCACAGGCTAACACACAGATGCTTACTCAGGACCACAACCCAGGTCATTTGTAGAAAATCTGGATTTCTTGCTGGTCATTCAGTAAACTGTTCTGATACCAAGGAAGCTTACACCTTGTCCAAATCACTTTTAGGCAAGTCACTGGTGTGGAAGGACTATGCTTCTTGTAAGTGATGCAGAGAGCAAGAAAAATGTTGGGGAAAAAAAGGGTTCTGAATTAGAATGAACAAGTAGCAAGAACTTAAGGATCTTAACTGTCCTAGGTAATTGACCTATATATTGACATCTGGCTTTAGAACAAATTCTTTAGAACTGAATGAGAGAAGCCCATTTCACATCTCTTCTTCATCTTATGTTTACAAAAAATGTGACTCTACATGTATGTACAAATGTATAGGCCGTGGACACAGACATCATTATCTGCCACCATTCATGTTAAGTCACAAAGATAAGCTGCAGCTACAGAGTGCAGCCTCAATGTCTGCTTTAGCCCCTCCTCTCTGCTGGCAGATGCCCCCTGTACCAGAGAGCTGCCCTTCAGAGCAGAGCCTGCCTGTTCCTGCTCTCACGGGCACAGCCTGCCCGGCTGCACGCGGCTGCCGGGGGGACGTGGGTCAGGTTTACACCTCAGGCTCCTTTCTGTGCTCACACACCAGCAGGCACGTGGCTGCCCAGTCGTGGCACACCTCACGGGCAGGCAGCTGCATGCGTGTTCATTGGCACTTAGCTGTGAGATGTGTAGACTAAAGATATGGAGACAGACTTGAAGGGAGACATCTCCAACATTGATAAAATGTAAGTACAAAAGACACGTCATTGGATGGATATTGATGATGTTGTTTCAGTAATGACATCATCCATAGACTCCTAGTGTCTTTGCTTTGCTTCTCTATAGTGATCACAACATAAATTGCTTGTCTTGTTTGACTTCCTTGTTCACCAAAGTTGAGCAGATTGTCGCCGTTTTCAACGCTTCCACCAGACAAAAAGCTTGGGACCATTTCTCGAAAGCCCAGCGAAAGAACATAGACATTTGGCGAAAGCATTCTGAGGTTGGTGATTTTATTATTACTTTCTATCCATCATCTCACAGCTGGATTGACACAGAACGAGTCTGATTGTAGCTGGACATGGTGTTCTCAAGCAGTATTTACGGCCACCATCTTGGCTGTTAATCAGCTGGCCGTTAAACAGTCTCATCCACAGTATGAATTGCTCCCGTTGCTCTCACTAGGATAACAGTCATTAAATAACACTAAGACAGAGAGCAATGTGGTTTTATTTTTCATGCAAAATTTGAGAAATCATTGAGAGGATTATGTTTACTATCTAAAATAATGAACTTAAGCAGCGAAATGAGGAACAATATTTTCATCTAAGGATAGAATTAGGAATTACTTCTGAAAAAATATCTTTTTTTAGTAGTCATCATGATCTGTTTCAAAAAGATGTATTTTCTAGCACAGATTTTTTTTCTCATTGTGCCCTCATACGGGCATTATAAAATGACTTTGCCTCAAAATAAAATAGATCATTTCTTTCCCAAGTAGTGACCTGAGCTTACTAAGTCCAGAATTATGACATACACCTTCCCGTTGGTTTTGTGTTCATCTTTAATAAGTAGATACATCACTTGTACTGATTCTAGGTATTATGCTTGCAAAGAAACCAGTATAAATGCAATCATACCACCACACAGTTAGCAGTGTGGGACCATGCATGTGTGATGTCATAAGCATGAGCAGAGGAGGTGGAATTCTAAACCCCTTGCTGCGAGTGGCAGCGAAGGAAGTGTGAGACCTCATCCTGTGTTTTGGGCATCCAGCTTTCCCTGTTAATTCAGTATATACACTGTGAGCCTGTATTTTAAAAAGTAAGTACCACTGTCTTTGTTTTCTTCCTTTCTTCCTTTTTTTTTATAATATGTACAACTTACATACCCTTGGTTTATCTTCATGTAGTACAGTATATTGATTATTGCTATCACAGTCCTCTAAATGATTTATCTGTCTCAGAATAAAACCTTTAGAAGGTAAGGTGCACTTATTTAATTATTTTGTAGTACACTTGTAAAATAAGTGTTGTACACTTAGTTTGAGAAAAAAACTAAAGTGCTGTGATATAAATCATTTGGATAACATTTTAAGTGCCCATTAACTAATGCTAAATTACAGTTGAATACCAATGGCACTAAATATAACATCTACATGAATACCAAATGAATTCTTTATTATCAGTGCTATTATGGTGAATACCAAATGACTTCACAATAATGGGACACTTAAAATAAAATGTTAGCATAATTTATTGGTACAAACTATATTTTGCATTTTGTTCACTAATATTTCATATAAGTAATGGATGAAGCCTTTGTTCAGTTGAAAGTTGGGAAGCTGGGAACTGATGTTTGTCTGATGTTTTAAAGAAAATATGATTTGCTAGTAAATTATTTCAGTTACATTAAGACCATTCCCTCTTAAACTAACTTTCTGTAAAGGGACGTGGTGTGGCTTCTAAATCTTTAATCAGCTGAAATCTGTAATAGTTGGACTTTCCAGAATTGTTAATTCACTACTCATTTTTTCCAAATATTATTGCCTTTTGTTTTTCTAAGAGGCAAACAAAACCCATTCAAAAATACATGAAGACTCTCACAGTGTATTTCAGGTTTTCCGATGTGAAATATGATGGAAATATATCAAATGACATTTTTGATGTAAATCATATTTTCTAACCATGGCATTATCCACTAATGTGTTTAATTACCCCATAACCTTCCCTTTTTTTTTTTTTTTTTAATTTGGGAAAGCTTTGCTAGAAACCTAAAGTAAACACTTATACACACAGATGTTCTTGGTGGAGGATTCTTGGCTTTGCTGGTAACGTGGACATTGATGCAGCCCCTAAAGAGGGAGTAGATGGAGGTGGATGTCTGCTCGTGCAGGCAGCCTCTCCCAGTAAGGGATTCAGAAGCCAGTTCCTTCCAGAGGTGCTTCTGGTTGTATGAGACACTGATTGACAATTTACCTTCTTAATCCCTCCTTTAAAATTTGAAATTTTTCTCCTGTGAAACGCCCACTAATTAGCCTCCTTGTCTTTGCTGGGATTAATGGACACATGTACACATATCAGGACCTTTGAGATCTGCTGATGGACCGAGGGGACAGCTCAGTGGGAACTCCTCCCCTGTCTCCAGACAGTCCCTCTCTGGCAGCTCATTGCTCTCTGCACGGAGCAGTGCTCAGACCCCTCAGCACCGTCCCCTCCTCCCGTGCAACTCTTCCTTGTTTCCAAGATTTCAGACCACCTCTGTGGGAATGAAGCTCTTTGCTGGCAGAAGAACGAGCTGTGTGTGTGCTGAAAAGGCCTGCACTCATCAGAGCACAGCCTGCCCGTGTTGCCCCTGACAGGAAGATGAGGACAAACCGAGTCCTCTCCATCTCCTGGGCGCTGCCCCGCTGCCCAGACAAAGGCTGCCCAGACTCCTCCCCCCCGGCTGCCTGCCCCCCTCACCCAGGGACAGAGCTCTGCTCTCTGCCACTTGGCTTGGGTCAAGAGGAGAGATTTTCAGGGCGGCCTTACGGGGCTGGGTCTTTAAAATCCCAGGGGATCTTGGCGTGGGGCCGGAGGGTGAGATTCCTTGTGTAGCCTTGGGCACCTGCAGTATCAAAAGCAGTGGCTGCTCTCAGCTCCCTGGACCATCAGCAGAGGGAACCAGGCCCTTTTAGGCACTTTGGACTTTAATGGAGATACCTACACTGGGCTGGATGAATCCTACCCCAAGAGGCAGAGAGAAGTAAGAGTTCTCTCTACCTTAAGCAGGCTGACAATCCCATTATCAGTCAGCTTTATACACAATTTTAAGCGTTATCCCTGCTGTCAAAGTGTTCCCCTCTGTGCAGCAGGACTGAAGGTCTCCACTCGACGTGGAGACTCCCTTTGTCTTCTGTTTTCCCTGAGTGTTACCTTTGATAAACTTCATTCTTCCACAGGAAGAATTCCCTGTGCTACTGAGGTTATAAATATTCATATACAAATAAATATGATTACAATGATAAATGAAGTATAATTAAAATCAGAGTGGTATTAAAAACAGGTACTAAATAATACATAATGACTTGATGAAAGTTAAGACTTACAGAAGGTCATTTTGGGTTTCAGGAGCTCCGAAATGCTCACAGTGAACAGCTCATGGGGATCCGCCGGGAAGAGGAGATGGAAATGTCCGATGATGACAGTAGTGACAATCCCAGTAAAAAGCTGAGAGTAGATGATTCAGGTAAAGCCAAATCCCTCTATAATGTCAAGTGTGTACAACTGTTGTTTTTTTTTAAAAGACAAGCCAAAACTTACAGAACAGAAGTACCAAATTCATAGCTGATGATGTGAGATAGATAGTGTCTCATTTTAAACCCTCATAAATGAGTTATTTGAATGATTCAAGCTGTCTGTAGGAGCTGTCTGTCACCTGCTGTGATCTATAAGGATGGAAATTCTCCAGTTCTGCCCTCAGCTGGAAGCATTATGTTTCTTTAGTGTGCTCTCTGCAGTCTTGCATGACAGTATTACATCCCATGGTTGTAACAGTGTCTTATGATGAGACCAGTTAAGGTTTGTTTTGGTCAGTATTCTCTGAGCCTTACCTTTCTTTTCAACAAAAGCATAAGAATGTTCCAGCTCTCTAACAAACACGCCTTACTGTTTTACATGTGTGTTTTGTGGAATTAACTTTTAAGGGTATATATTTCAGAATATTGGGCTGCATACTGCATTCAATTGACACCCCTTAGGTGGCTCTCATGAAAGAACAAACAAGGCTGCATATAACATAAGGAAAGAAATACAACTTTGTCAGCCTTTTACAAATACCCTGCTAAAACAAAAGCAACTTTTTCAGCTTCCTACAAATACTCTGCTATCCAGGTGGACACTTCTAACGTGCCTCAGAAGCTGCCTGAATTACTGACTGGTAACATGATCTGGATGGATGCTTTGCTTGATTTCTAGACATGGCTAATAAAGTTGTAAGTAGCCAACAAGGGTTTGCTTGTTTAGATGCTGATCTTCAGAAAGAAAATTTACAGAAGCCAAAGCATGTCTGGGAATTGCCAGCCAGCAGGGAGCTTTGAGGGAGGTGAAGAAGGAGGAGGTTATATGGAAAGACTGAGGGTCTGATGGTGAGGATAATATTGACCTAGTCCTTTGCATACAGACACCATATTAAAAAAAAGAAAGAATCTCATCTATTCAATGCTTTAAAGTCCTTATAAAGCCCAGCACAAAAGTGTAGGTTCAAGTTTACATAAAAAAGAGCACTTGGCTCCTCCTGTGCCAAGGTGCTGTGTGAGGACAAATGACTCCAGAAGTAAAGACCGAAGGAAGGAGTGTCATTCTAGCAAAGAAACTTTTGCTATGACATCTGTCTCAAGAGGAGATTTAGTATTTTTCCTGGAAGAAAAATGCAACTGTAAAACCTTAATTTTGCTTGCCTAACTGTGTGGATCTGAATTTTCTACGCGCCGTTAGCAGAATGTGTGATGTGGAGACAGCGGGTCACTGCAGACAAAGCACTGCTAGCAATCAGAGATTCTTATGAATGTCTAATCATTTTACCTTGACTGTGCCCACTCTTAGAGGAGGAAGTCATTAGATTTAATAACAGGAAGGTAGAGCCAAGAAATCCCCCCAGCCTGCGTGCCAGAAGAAGAGTAACGATGATTTGATCTGTCATACTTCCCAGCTCAGCTCCATTTTGCACATGCATGCTCAGGGCAGGGCTCTGCCAGCCATTCTTTTTGTAGCACAATTAAGGTGTGTCTGATTTCCTTCCACAGAAAGAGACATTTCTATCAGGGGTCTTGATATCTGAGATTTCTGCATCATTCTATCCTGAATAGTTTATTTGTATTCTCATCATGTGGGCACTTGAGTCCCCTCCACAATAACAGCAGCAAACTCAGTACTAGCTTGCATACTAAAGCAAAATTTAGCAATATAAATCCACTTGACTACTTGTCCATCATTGTCCATTGAACTATTCATCGTCCTCTTGATCTTAGTGGAGTTACCTAGCCTACTGCATACATAAAATACTCTTCTAAAATTTATTTTAAAGCTTTCTTCCTCCAACATTACCCTCTCAACTAAAGCACGTGTGTTTGATTCTTCTGTCACTAACAACAGAGGGAACATGGAGTTAAACCAAAAAAATTATTTGGTAAAATATTTGGTAAAATAAATTTGGTAAATGAAAAGAGAAACAAGGACTTTTTTTTTTTTTCCCTTCATTTTCATGTACAGAGAAGTGAGGAGTGATTCTTCCTTCCTTCTTTTAGCATTTTAAAAAAATCATATTTGTATTAGCTGCCTTCTTTTTTCCTTTTTTTCTTTCTTTTTGAGCGTGTCATTCCAGAACCACCTTTTTATCTCACTGGAGTGGCTATTTGTATTCACAGCAACTTCTGTTCTACAAAGAATGTCTTTTTAAAGAATCTTTTGTCACAAAGAAAGAATTCCACACAGTAAGAAAACATTGACTCGCACTTGATTCTTAACCTCTTTTCTTAAAACTTTTGTCTAAATGCTTAACCACGGGAAGGACAAGGCTGGAGTAACACAAAGAAGATACTGAACCTCTTCAATCTAGGGACGGCGTGCACACAAAGTCTGGAACATCTAAATCCCAGAGTGGCTGAAGCAATGAGACATGGTGAATTGATTTGGATAGTCCCCCAGATCTGGACTGTGCACCCTTCCATCCCAACGATTTTCTTGAGGGTACTGGTTTTCAGCCTGCCCTACTCAACAGTGGGAACAAGACTCCTTATCTGTTACCACCCCCAGAGCTACAACAGGTGACAGAAGCTCTCCCAGGCTCAAACGCCCGGGGAAGGTCTGTCTTCAAGAGTTCACCTAGTTAAAATCACCACTAGTACAAGAAGGCTTCAATAATTCAACAGTTTAGAATGGATCCTAAAAATTCATTCTGTCGTGGTCAAGTGTAGTTTTGGGACTCTCCTAGTGTCATTTCTGTTAGTCAGAACTTTTTCATTCAGAATTAATGCCACTTCTTTGAGCATCTGAATAGAATGCTGCTGAGTGTGTCACATTTCCTCACTGGTTAGAATGAAAACCCTGCTCTAGCATTATCCGAAGAGAAACCTGTTCATCCCCCTGAAGAAATGATGGTAGACTCCAGCCCCAGCATTTGAAAACAAAGTGCAACACAGTTAGGCCCTGAGGCTGTGCAATATTCTTCCAAATATCCAACTGAAACCTCCCCTGGTGCAACTTGAGCCCATTTCCTCTCTTCCTATCACTAGTTACTTGGGAGAAGAGACCAACACCCACCTCACCACAACCTCCTTCCAGGTAGCTGCAGAGCACAATAAGGTCTCCCCTCAGCCTCCTCTTCTCCAGACTGAACAACCCCAGTTCCCTCAGCTGCTCCTCACAAGCCATGTCCCCCAGAGCCTTCACCAGCTTTGTTGCCCTTCTCTGGACCTGCTCCAGCCCCTCGATGTCCTTCTTCTACTGTGGTGCCCAAAACTGAGCTGTGACCTCAAGCTGTGACCTCCCCAGTGCCGAGTACAGGGGCACAATCACTTCCCTACTCAAATCTCCTTTCATCTGCCAATTACTCTTCCTCTAACTGTTTAAGAACTTGAGTTACTGATATCTCATCTGCCAATTACTCTTCCTCTAACTAACTGTTTATGAACTTGAGTTACTGATATTAGTGACCAAGTGGAATGAGAACTCACCCCTCCAGTCTCCTGAACCTATCTTCTACCCTCTAGTCCATGTTGCAGGGCTGGGGCACTGCCTCCTGCATGTAGTTCTAAGGCTCCTGCAGACCTCTTGCAGGTCCTTCTCCCTAAGCTTCGCTAGTACCCTCCTCTATGGTGTGCAAGGTGGGTCTCCAAGGAAAAGGAAGGCATTGCTACCTGCTTTCGTTGAAGAACCTGTCAAACTGCTGCAGGGACTCCTTGAAGAGCTCCCCAGGGGAATCCATTAAGTTGGCTGGGCTATCATATGTGCCCAGTTTATAGGAAATCCTCCTGCTTTCAGAGACTAAAGGTCATTTGCATTGTGGGGAAAGCTGGCAAAAGGCTGACCTAAGACTTAGTGAATCTCATCTGTGGGATCAGCTGTTCCTTTAGAATGTTTTTTTGGGGGTGGGTTTGTTTGTTTGTTTATTTGTTTTTTTCTTTCAAAACTCAGCCTTTAAAAGTTACTTTTCTGCAGTGTGGATTTTGGAGTGTGTAAGTATTGCTGAAGTAAAGCTGGGAGATTGCTAAGAAAAAAATAATAATGATGATTGGCAACCCAGTTAATACATTTGAAAGTCAAGGTGCAGCTACCAAAGCATTAGCTCAAGGGGAAAAGAAAGAGATTCAGTGTTGAGTCTGGAGGATATACGAAAATCTTCAGAACAATCAGGATTTATGGATGCTTCATCTCCCACCTGCTGGCACTGGGAGTAAGGATACACGTGTAAAAGCCTCCAAAGTAATTTTAAGAATTAGTGGAGTGAAGCTGCGTGTAGTAGAAAAGAGCTGAAGTTTGGTTTCTGCCTGGGAGGCACCTGTAATTTGATGTTAAGGGGAGGTGGGTTAATCTGGTCCCTTTGCAGTGGTTGGCAGCGTGCCACTGGTTCAGAAGCTCCAGCAAGAGTCAGCAGCTCCAGCAAGAGACTGCAGTGTGGCAGAGAGAAATGCACAGTGACTGAACGGGGACACGGGCTTCAGGCTTGTCACTGGGGTCCCAGAGCTCTGGCCCAAATCCCAGCCCTGCTACACACCCTCTGCCCGGGCTAGTCAGTGAATTAGCTGTGTCTCAGTTCCCCACGCCCCCGTGGAGGCAATGGTGTGTCCTGTCCCTCAGCCACTGCCTGTCCTGTCCGTGTGGCTGACCAGCACCTTGGCAGAGGGCTCTCTTCAGCTCAGCAGACATGCAGTCACCCACGCATTGGGCCTCTGGAGCATCTCACTGCCACTGTATTCCCTGTGATGAAGCAACTTAATGAGATCTCAGGGACTGCATGCAAATTATAAATTGCGAGTTACGTCGTGCACGCCCCGTTTGAACACGTGGGATTGGCACTGCTCTCCCAGTCAGGAGGGACATCCTAAAACAGGTGCCCAGCTCAAACATTGAAGCTCTTTCTACCTTGGCCAATGGCCTGGGTTGTAATGGGCTCCTGGACTGCTCAGTCCTGTGTGCAGCACCAGCTGGGTGACTTGCCCCAGGAGCCAGGCTGAGCAGCGGGCAGCCCAC